TTTAAATTCACATAAAATATATTTAAATATACAAAACACAACCCTCTGAGTAAGCCGCTTCTCTATATGAACATTATTTAACCATCACTTTTGAGACAAGCCGAAACCTGGCCGTGGAGGAACATTTAATAGGGGGGGAAACTTGCTGTTAGATTAAGGACTAGAGAATGCACCAATGTCAGTTCCATGTGGTAGCATCTATTTTAAGGTCCGTGAATAATTTTGTATGCTACTTCGATAATTTCACGACAGATAGCGGTGCAAGCTTACGAGCTTTCTACCATTGATTTCATCTATACAAGCAACTTCTCAATGGAGAGGGTGTTGCCTAGGGCAACCCACATTTTGTTGTGTCCTACTTGCAATCCACACACTCTCAGTTTGCAAGCTTTGCATTGGTGGTGAACATTCTTATCAAGTGTTGTAGATCTGGATGTAATAGTGAAAGATTGAGCTCCAGGATGCGCCAACACTTCAGCAGGGTAAAGAAAATAATTTCTTCACATTTCCCTCCAAGCCCAGAAGGAGAGTAAAATATTTCGAGTTATGATAATGAGTCACTTTTGGTTGAATGGAAAATAAAATACTACCTGTGGCATTTTGTTGTTTTTTCTAATTCATAAAATAATTGCATTACGTCCCAATTGAAAACACTTGTTTTCTTTTTTATTATTATTATGTGTATTGTATTAAGTTCGTATCTTCATTACTTCATTAATTTCCAGTGTGATTTTCTATATTATTTCATACATTTCAGACAACTTAACAGCTTTACTAATCATTGCTTTATGAAAGTAAAACACAGTAGTGCAAGACATCTGTAATATATGACTGAGTGAAAACCAGAAGTCATGTTTTATAAATTCTGAGAAAAACCATGTTTATTTTATGCTACGTATTATTTGTGGTTTTAAAGAACAATTGAAATGCTTTGATTTTTAATGATGAAAACAAGGCACCATGACTTTACAGTAATATTCACTTGAATAAACAGATTTCTCAAAATTCATAAAATGTCACATACTGCTCTGGTTTTCATCACTCAAATGCATGGATGTGCTATTTCTGCATTAAATTTTTCAAACAGGGTTTCATTTCTGTGCCATAAGTGACTCTAGTTCTATGGCCTGAGAATACAATCCAGTCAGGCGGAGAAGACTAAGGGGAAAGAAAGAACAAAGATGAAAGTTATGCATTACATGAAAATATCCTTGAGGAAGTTAATTTTGAGGAATAACACTGATTCATTAATGAATAGGCAAAGCGAAGGTAGAGCTAAGTTCAATAAATAGGTGTTTCTTTTATACAAAAATTGTCACTAACTTTCCACAACAACATGTATTCCTTGGCTGTGCTTGTTGAATATAAACTTTCAAATCTTGCCTGTTGATTATTCTATAATTGAATGACTTGAATGGAAAAGTGAGACTTCAGAATAAAGAAATGTGTTTAAATTTCCAAGAAATATTTGAAATTTGTCTTGGGATTTGTGGCATTTTCAAACTAAAGTGCAGATCTCAAAGAGAATGATGGACCTTTTGGTCTGAATGATTCTGGCTGGATGTACAAATAAATTGTATAACAATGTCTGTCCATCCCTACCCCTACTCTGTCCAAACTACAATAGTGGAAACAGTTCCTGAAAGTTTGTAATAATTTTAATGGTGTTGCCAAAATAGTTGACTGTGCAAGTAATTCAATAATTAAAAACTATAAATGAATCAGGCTTAATAAAATGATTCATATGTCATCATTTTGGAATTCATAAAAATTCCAATTATATTTTTTTATTAATAACTTAGGTAAATGTTATATGTGATTAAATTGTCGTTTTTTAAACTATTGAAAATGGATTTTCACAAAGTGCAAATATGCTAATTGTATTTTCCTAGTGAGTAAATTGTCATGAATGCTATGTTTGATTCCATAACTCAATTGGCAGAGATATTTGTGTAACAGAAGATCCTGGGCTCAGATCAGATCCAGGTGGGATCAAATATTTGTACTTTGTGACAATTAATTTTAGTATGTTTATGCCATGCATGAGTAGCCTCACAAAAATGCGAAAATTGTTTCTAAAGACAAATCACATCTGATCCAAGTCATTACATTATGTTCATCTATAATACCATTCATGCAAATTGTATGGTATAAAGAAGTGGATTAATGCTTTATTTAACTTTCAGAGTTTGTGAAAATAAAATTATAATTGTACTGATACAGATATATAAATTGTTAAAGTCAAAACATGTTTGTAGAGTAATGTACTTGGAATATCAGATTGTTCTATTGTACCTGTATTGTACTGTTGTCATGTAAGTGTTTCAGAACATATTTTATGAATACATTACTAAAAACATATTTTTTTAAAAATTTAATTGCCAGTTGATTCTTCTCCTAATCAAATTCATCCTGTAATTTTTTTAATAGGCATGCAAATAGCAGAATGTGACTTTATGGAGGTTATAATTTACATTAGATGTCCAAAAAGTAGATTTTGTATCGTGCACCTGTGTCAGCTACCATAATGATCAAGTAGCATACATTCTGGCTACAGAGTGCAGAGTGTAGTTTTTGCAAGTACCTTACTATAGATGGTGCCACACAAGTTTCCCCTCCTAATATATTTTCCTACATGAACAGGCTCTTAAAACCCTAAATTAACCAACCTGTTAATATTTCACATTGTATATTTGTATTGTTTTTAGCTCTGAGGATGATCGCTACGCGATCGAAATGATCATTAGTGGAATTAAAATATTGATACCTGACAATATCTCTATTTATTTATCAAAACCCTAAATTCATTACAATGACATGGTATTTCTATTAAAAGTCCTACTGTAAGACCAACTAGTTAACACCTCAATAATTTTTAAACCATTTTTAAGGTATATATTTTCTTTAAATTATCCTATTTCTTTAGGTAAAAAGCCATAATTTGTTGATTAAAAAATTGCAAGTGAATTTGATTTATTACCATAACTGGAATTAAATTAAAAGATAAGAAAAAGAATGACAACATACTTTTTATTTAAAATTGCTCTCCAGACACTTCACTCCAGACCTTCAAAGATTCAGAATGTTCATAGGTTGTAATAAAAACACTAAGCAGCAAATAATTCTGGCCACAAGGAGATAAAGTGCGGCCTTTTCAGACATCTCATAGAAGAACAAAAGTCATCAGACTACAATAATAAAGAACTTATAAACAGCAAAAGTGAACTGGAACTCAAAGAAAGAAATATTACAGTAGCAATAATTACTGAAACAAAGAAGAAAAGAAAGGACACCCAAGATGTTGAAAACAAAATATAACAATACATTCCAGAGTGAAAGAAGAAGAAAGAGCAGCTTCTGGAGTAACACTATACTTCTAGAAATAAAGAATACAAAGACCCAGTATTAGACTACGAATGAATTTCAGACAGAATGATACTACCAAGACTAAAAAATTAAGACATGATACAGTAGGAAAATGGGCACCTGCAGGACACAACACAGAATTAGAAGAATTTTATTAAAACCTTCAGAACACATTAGACACGTCGGTTAAAGTAGGGTACGCGGTACATCCTCAGAGAAGCATGGCAGGGTCTCCTTAAGCCCTCCCTCAAATTACATTAAGCACTTTGATACAAATCAATAAAACTTACAGATACGCAATTTTCATGTCTCGCCCTTCATAGGCTTTGTTCCCATCACATGGTAATGCCAATTTACTTTCAAAGGCAAGTTTTCTCACTTCACTTGCCCAGATCCAAGTCACAACGAGGCTCGAGCCTTCAGCCTTCGCATTCACTTTGAACATCCTTGAGCCTATCCACCACATAATAACCGATTCACTTTTATACTAAAGCACTTTTCAAGAAAGTCTCCAAAATCCAAACCGAGCAGTTATCGCTGGAGCGGTGACATGCTGGTTGAAAAGACTTCTGTAAGTTGTATCGTATACTAGACTTCAGCCAACAAGTTAAAACAAAATTAAATGATTGTTAACAACATGAATTTCACATTGCTCAGGACAAGGGGAGTAGTGAAATAATGGATATTGTGATTCACATTACAGACCATGATAACAGTGTCTACCATTATGAATGGTCATCAGGCTAAGAGCCTCAGTACACTCTGTGAGCTTGAGTATAAATAAAAAGGTCTTAATGTAAAAAAATATCTATTCCCACAAAAGTTATTTTTCTCACTGTTATATACAAAATTATCAGTAATTATTTAAGGTACAAGAGAGTACAGTAACATTTTATTTAAGAGCAAGAATATTAGTCGTACAGGTAAAATAGAAGCCCTGAGACTAAATTCTGTGGCAAGGGATAGAAATCTACATAGGCCTACTCTGTGGGTATCATATCATATTTTATGCATTAAAACTATGTAAACAAATACGGCAAGATGACTTATATGAAATGAAAATAAATATTGTTTGTATGCTCAAATGGAACATGTTTTTCATTCCAGAATCATTTCTAGAACAAATCTATTTCTGCAATTAAAAAAAAGTTATATTAAATTAATATAATATACATTGAAACACTAAAATAACATTCTCAACAATAATTTTTTTTCTTCTTTAGAGAATAATTTCATAACTTATGTTACAAAGAACAACAACAAAAAAAGATTAACAAAGCTGTTAATTAAGCATTTTACACACACTTATGAAATGCAACACTTTCATGGTCACCTAACATCCAATCACACTGTTATAGGTGTAATAGATGTAAATACTCAAGAGTATTATGAAAGGTTGTTTCGCGCTGAAGTCAATCACATTCTTATTTACATAGAGAAAAGGTTTGTGATATGTAAATCTAATTGGGAAGATAGTTAATTTAATTTAACATCCACCACAGATAAATGGAACATAAAATTGTAGTGGTTATCATTTAAAATTGAGTAAATCAACTAACAGTGGTTCTAAATTCCCAAAAGATTTCAATTAATAAAAAATATACTAATAGTCACTCAATTGACAATTTACTCACCAATACACACATCCACTTTTCCTTTGATGGCAGCTTCATGAAGAGGGGTATAATTCCAGTTGTCTCTTGTGTTTGGGTTAGCACCAGCTTCTAGTAACAATCGCACAACATCCGCATGGCCAAACGAGCAAGCATTGTGCAAAGGGTGAAGTCCTCCATCATCACGAGCTTGAATTGAAGCACCGGCTGCTAACAAGAATTCCACAACATCCCGACGCCCATAACCTGCAGATTGTTTTTAAAATCAAATTAGAGAAAACAAAGTTCTCAGGCACAAAAACAAAAAAATGAATTTAGACATTCTTCCAACTATTGACCATTAATTAAAGTAGAAAGAAGTTATTATATACTTATTATATTAATGGTTTTTGATATTTGTGGAATCACCTAAGCTACTAATTTATCTGTCTAGCACAATTCATCACAAAAATTTCACATAACTTCTCCGTAAAGAAAATAATAACAATTTATAATTATATTATCTCATAATACCCCACCAATTGAGTTTACGAAGTTGTTACAACACCAACATTATATACTGCATGTTCATTATATACAATATAAACACGAAGCTGTCAAACAAAACCAAAACATCAACAGGTTGGTTTTATCCACAAACAAATTGCTAAACAAGAAGTGTAACCGATTTTTCAAGAACCATAGTCCCAGATTTTAATGTTTTGATGATAACTTAAAAATATCTATTGCAAAATTTATCTCGGTTAAGAAACCTACAATGGAGATGGCACTTACCAGCTGCAAAATGTAACGGAGTCGATTTACGCCCAGCCGTATCCCTCGCGTTCACAGTTTGTGGAGTCACTAGCTTCTTAACTCTCGCTATATCACCAGTTTTGCAAGCTTCAAATAGTTCTCTAAGCGGATCATTATTGGAAACAGGAAGTGGTTCTATTGCAGAAGCTATAACTGTCCTCCGACTCGCCATCTTAATATTGTTGAAATCCTGCTAGAAAATCTCACAACTCTTCTCTGCATGGCCGATCCCGGTGTTGCCAACCTCACCTTCACTGTCGAAAACTTCGGGAAACAGCTGGGGAGTGAGGAAGGAGAGAGACCTGAAATAAGAGATGAGATCCTGACATTTTTTTCCAATAAAAGAACGCTGTATAGACAGAATAATGAGAATTCTCTTACTATTCGAAAATTAATAATGATCATGTTGAAGAAGAAGAAGAAGAAGAAGAAGAAGAAGAAGAAGAAGAAGAAGAAGAAGAAGAAGAAGAAGAAGAAGATGATGATGATGATGATGATGATGATGATGATGATCATAATAATAATAATAATAACAATAATAATTAGAGGTGTTTCAACAGCGCATACTTTCACGCAATATTACAATGTTATCGTTATGTCAAACGGGACGCCCATGTATATTCTTCATTAATTTCAAACAAAAATGACTCGAAAACTACTAGCGTGTATAAAACATTGTACATTGTCTTTTTTAAAGAGCTAATTTTTTTTTGTATAATAGGCTTGGTATGAGGCAAAAAATCTTTATCTTCAATTTTGTAGTTTCGAAATTTAAAGAAAAAAATTGGAGCGGTTTTTGAGGGAAAAAAATCGTAAATTTCAAGCGCAAATTACGCAATATCTACTCTTTAAAAAAATGTACTTGACCTTTTTTTAAAAAAAAGTAATTTTGTACAACAGACTTTGCCTGAGGCGAACATCTCTATCTTCAATTTTGTGGTTTTAATTTATTTATTATTTTTGCCAATTTTCGAAAAATTGAGGATTTTAACGAAAATGAGACCTGCATCATTCTCTGAAACGTCTTTCGCACTTTAACAACAAAATTTAATCAAAAAAATTGGAGCCATTTTTTGGGAAATATCCGGGATGCTTGATGTATAGTAACCCCCGAAATTAAACTATCGGTTTCAAATTCCAGAGGCCGTGACATCAGCCAGAACGATAGGGGGATATCAATTTTGGAGAAAATCGGCTGAACGATTTATGCGCTAGCGTTGTTTCCAGACGGATAGCCTTTTCTGCAATATTAACATTATGAAAGATTTTTATTCGCCTCTGCCATCTTCAAAATAATATATTAAAAATTGATTTTAAAAATCATTGAAATATATAAAACAAACATAGGGCCTTCGAGGCCCTGCTTATTCATTTATGTAGATTTTTGAGACTATGTTTTCTAGGGTTAAAGCAACAATGGTCGATCCGTTTGGCGTTCACGTTTCACAACCCAGTAACCTCGATAGCGCTGACAAGCGAATGCAAATGGTTCTAAAAATCAGGCGTGGATTCACGGGGAGGGAATGATGGAAATCTTCCTCCTCCCATAAAACTGTTCAGTAACTAATAATTTTAACTTGTCACGAATCCTTCATGCATTTTTTCGGATAATCATTAAAACGAATAAAATAGTATTGCAGCATGAGCTATAGCGTAGCCTACAACATTTTACAAGATCTGTAGTATGACACCGATCAAAATATTTTGAATTTCCCCTTCCAAAAATTTGTCTCTTGATCCAGCCCCTGTAAGAATATATAATAGTAAATATTATTATATTGTAATATTCTTCAAATCCGCTCATTTTAACACGAATTACACATTACTCCTCGTTTGGACGTATTTTCAACATGGTTTGGGCGATCAAAGCTCAATGCTCCATACGTTTTCACACTTACGAAAATTCTCTCAAAAATAGGGAACTCACATTTCAGAGAGTTGCATAATATTTATAAAACCGAAATTGTTGACCATATTATCTCGCCTCAATCATAACCTGTAAAACTCATTACAAAACGAAGAACAAACGCTCTTTTCCATCTATATTCAGAATTCAACTTTTATATGAGTTAGGGTAAGGATCTCAGAATTTAAGAAAACGAACACAACATACATTTCTCCCTATAGCACGTCACATACAGTTTTTAACTTGATGAAATTAAATAAAAACAACACAAAGCATTGTAATCTTTCCAACCATTTTGATCCACCAACAATAAGAAGAATTCTAAGAATTACGAACTGTGAGCCCGTGAAACAAACCGCGAGAAATTCAAATTTGCTTTTTCAAAATTCGTAAAATTACGCTAAACTACACATAATTTAAAAATATTTTTTAAAAATAACTAATACTTTAGAACAGATTTCATTTAACAAAAGAAAATATATCATCAAAATTGCACTTTCGCGATGTTAAATGTTTGTTGGCAATTTTCGAAAATACAGAGAGTGCGCAGAAAAAAGGACCAGCACCTCTTTCTTCACCGTTCTTTACTACATACGAGGAAAATAATTAAAGAAAAATTTGGAGCAATTTAGAGAAAATAATTCTTAAACTTGTTTTAAAAAATTGCATGTTTCGCGCAAAATTACACAAAAACGATTAATATTTTCGAAAAAATGAACATGATTTTACTTGGAGGGCTAATTTGGATGAACATTCTTCATTAAGGAAAACATCACATTCTCTTTATTGTAGTTATAGAAAGACGCCGAAAAAAATGGAACTTTTGCAATTTTCGAAAATCAATGGAATGCAACGAAAATGCGACCTACCCCATTTCTTTATGCGTCTTTTGCACCACCAGAAAGAAAAAAAAATTAAGAGAAAAATTTGGAGCGACTTCTGAGAAAAAAAAAAAAAAAAAAAAAAAATTGAAAATAATGTTGAAGCTTCATACCGGTGAAGGTCGCTCAGAACATCAACTGATGTCACTGCAGTGACACTGACCGGGAGGTCTTGGGGTTCGAAACAAGTTGGTAACAGGCTTTCCGACACTAGTTCATCGGGTAAGTCAAGTACAGCTAGTCTGGAGGAGACATCTAGAGGCCGGCTGCTCTGATCGGTAATTTTACGTGATTTCTACGATCAACACCAGGCACACGGCGGAGTAGTACCATAACAAACAGGCCACGGACCGCACGCGATCTTTCCTTCATCGTCCTTCTCCTTTCCTCACCCCTTACCTACATACACACACTCACAGGCAACACTCTACAATACATGCCGGGAGGTCAGTCGGGAGTTTAGAGTTTCTCATGCTGAGGATGCTAGGGATTCGAGGCATTATATATATATATATATATATATATATATATATATATATATA